CGTGGGGAGCGCTGAGGGGAGCGGGGCGGCCGCCGCCCGCCCTCCGCAGGGGCCTGGCCAAGGCGGCGGGCCCGCGGAGCGTCCGCCAGCTGAGGGAGGCCGAGGAGGCCGCCCCGGTCTTCCAGTACGCGGGGAAGGCGGCCAAGCGGAAGGATCGCGTCTTCGTCTGGGGCTTCTGCTACTCGGGCGCCCTGGGCGTCCCCAGCTTCGTGAAGCCGGACGTGGGCTGGAAGAAGCCGCGGCGGATCCAGCCCACGCCCTACCGGCTGGAGACGGAGGAGAAGGTGGGCCCGGGCCGGCGGCTGATGTGTCCCGGGAGGGTGGCGCTGGGGCCGTTCCCAGACACCGGTGCTCCCCCTCTGCCCACGCCGGGTGATCCTGGCAGGCCTGGAAGGCTTTAACTAAACTTAAAGACTTCCCTGTGATTCGTTGTTTTATTGCTAGAGCGGTATTCATCAGGGTGATTTTCGGTGTAACTACAGTTGCATGCAATTTGGGAATATATATTCTTTTGTCAGAGCCGTAGGAGAGCAAGAACGTGAACAACATGTACCAGAGAAATAAGGCCTCGTTTTCAGTAGCTTTCATGGCTGCTTTTGCCTTGACGAAATTGGAAGCTTGTGTTGAAAATCATGTTATTCTGTTGCCTACGTGTTCAAACATCATTGTCTCTGTCCAGTTCAAAGGAGTTCAGAGCTGCTATGCTGGCCTTTTTTTGGCAAAAGAAGTAAAGCAGGGGAACGTTACTCTCTTAATATCTCATTGTGGTTTTTTATTTTTTTTAATCTACTGCTTCTGCAGGTCAGCAAATAGATCTTCCTCTTGTGTTTGAATCAGTCCAAAATAATGCAAAAATAAAGATGTACGCACACAAAACCAAAACACCAGTGTGTTAATGTTGGACTTGCACTTACACCGTTGTGCTTATCACTGACGAGTGTTTCTGATCATTTTTGCGAAGACCGTATGTGCTGTGAATTTGGGCTGAGTTTGGATGTGGCCTAATGAAGGAGGAATGCTGGTGGACAGGTAGCATGGGGTGAAACTTGTTTTTCTAAGCCATAGTTTATAACTGAATGGTGTGAGTTTTCTTTGTCTTCAAAGATATCCTCTGCTGCCTGCGGTTATGGATTCACACTGCTGTCCTCTAATACCACGGACATCACCAAAGTGTGGGGCATGGGGCTGAACAAGGATTCCCAGCTTGGATTTCAGAGAAGCATAAGAGATCGAAGTAAGGATTGAGGTGGTGTAAGGGCTTACAGGGCGGCACTACAGGGTACGTGTGATGTGGGAAACTTTGGGTTAGAAGGCATAAAAAATGTCTGGGCGGGGGCTTTGATGCAGATTGCAGGGCTATGCCTTTTTTTTTTTTTTAAAAAAAAAAAACAACCCACAAAACAAAATAAAGAGAGGTCTTTTTTTTGGAACTTAGCTATGTTTTTGTGTGGTGTGTAATTGATCAGGGTATGCATTTGTTCTGTGCAGTGCACTTATGTTTTTGCCTGGATGCAACTCAAATCCAAGTAATTTTATTCTGCAGAAATGTGTATGTGTGTGTGTGTTGGTTAAGGTGTTGCTTTGAATCTATAGTTTGATAGTAGATGGTGTAGTGTACTGGTTAATAAAACTATTTTGGCAAGACGGTTTGCTCACTTCTGTTGCCTTTGCATCTATAAACTCATTTCCTTTCCCACACAGATCTTTTTATACAGCCAGTGGAATTTTGTTTGAAGCTGTAGGGGTTTTTTATTTTAATACCAAATAGCATTTTGAAGGAAAAACATGTTATTCAGTCATTCTGTCTTATACCAGGCTCTCAAACTCATTTAAGATGGTGATTTCTGTGCAGAACATTGCCACCTTCCACCTAAGACAGATAGGAAAAACACAAGCTTACTTCCCTTATAGAATGGCTGTCTCTAACTGTTTGAAAAGATTCTTCCATGTTAAAAGCAGTTTTTCCTCTTTACAATGTGTAAGAGCATAATCCATTAAGGTATGGTGCATCTGATATGGGGAAAAGATTAAGCTTTGTGGAAAAGCAAAAAAAAATGCTGCTACTGTGCAGAATGCTGAAGTTTACAGTGGTGCTGCTGTTGTGCATCGCTGCTAGCATACTGTATAGATTTCCAAGAGTGTGTGCACGTAGCAAGTGTGCGTGCATAAACAGCAGCTGCAAAATGAAGGGACTGCAGAAGCCTTCACTCACTTCTGCTTTTAAAGGTTTCAGCTCTTACTCTTAGTTCTGTAACTCTTGATGTCTCAGAAGTGTCCTGTCATTTTCTTGTTTTTCATCTGACCTACGGATTATTTTTGCCAGAGAATCCATAAATAGGTTATGCAGTTGAAGCCCTCCTAAGTAAGGGAGTGTTCAGTAGGATCTGTTTGAAAGTGCTGTGCAGATCAGTGGGTTTGCTGCTGCTCTGTGTTTAACTTCCCGCAGGCAAGCTTCCCGTTGGATATGCTGCTTGTTACTCAGTTTTACAAACTTAATTTGGTACCTGCTGGCTCTAACACTGTGTCCCTGTACATCGTTTGTTTCCAGGGGAATCTGCAACCTTCTGACTTTTAGATGGTTGTATTTCATGCTCTAACTTGAGCTGTTTCTAAGCTAAACTACTAATATTTTACTCTTGTCCTCCTCTGCCTTAACCATCTTGTTCTCTCTTTTCTCTAAAATCCTTCTGATATCAGTGATGATATTGAGTTCGTTACCACAGATCCCAGTAGCTTGTGACTCTGCTGGAAGGAACAGCGAGAGAGAGAGAAAAGGAAAGAGAAAGGGTTTATTGCTTTGTGACTTCCACATCTGTTTTAGACAGATACAACCTCGCAGTCTTTCAGTTCCTGCTGCATTGCGAGGCAGGCTCCCACCATTTGCAAACAGCCAGTTGTGATGCCTGTCCTCGCATCAAGTAGTGTCTTACTGTAAAAGGATATGTGTAGACTTTGTGGGTTTTTTAATTGAAGGCAGTGAGAACTAGTGAAAGCACTGCCATATGTGAGCAGAATACTGCTTTGGGTCCTTTGGGGTTTGATGTCACTTGTTACAGTGACTTTCTTTGATATCAAGGCTTTTTATCTCCCCTTAACCTTTTCCCTAGTACTGATTTATGTTTTGCTGTTTTTTTTTTTTTCTTCCCAGTTGACCGTAACTGATGACGTATTCTTCAAGTTACTAAATCTTTTTCTAGCAAAGCCTGTCATTTTCTTTCGTAAACCTTAGATCTCTTATCCCCTGTGGAGCCATGCTAGCTAGTGTTTCTTGTATTCCTTTTTTCTGAAAAGTCCTTTAATCTACCGTTCTCTAAATATGAAGCCCTAAGATTTTTTTTTTTGTTCACCTTTTGTGCTGTCTTTTTGTGATTGCTGCTATTGTACCTTGTTTGCAATATCCCCAGTTGCACAGAGTACTTAGTTTGTGCTTGGTGTTAAGCTCTCTAGTAATCCAGCCTTATTCACCAAAGTGGTTGAACATATGGCTGAAACCCCCAGTTTCTCAGTTCTGGCCACCTGAAGCCTTAATAACATTCAGCTGTAGGTATGGTGGATTTTTGATTAGGCAGTGATTATTGGCTTCAGCCATTCCTGTGGCTTTTTAACTCCGCCCTGTCCCCCTGATGAACCCCAGTCAACCTTTTACTTTGGTTAGTATCTTGGCTTTCTAAAATATATCTGCTTTTGTAACAAAATAGAAGTGAGTGTGTGTGTACAACAGGATCAGCAAATATATGATGACTTTGCTTTGTGGAAGCTACTGACTTTTAAAATTTCTCCCTCTTCCTTAAGCTAAGGGCTATGAATATGTCTTGGAACCATCTCCAATTCCATTACCATTGGAGAAGCCGCAGCAGACACGCGTCTTGCAGGTGTCCTGTGGGAGAGCGCATTCCCTGATCCTGACAGATAATGAGGGAGGTATAGTATCGCTTGTGCTGGTGACAAGGGACACCTGACTGTGCTTTCAGTAAAAGCTCTGGAAAAGATTGTCTTCTGTCCTTTGGAGCTAGACCCCAGATGGGCTTGTCTGCACTGTAAATGTGATGCAGGTAGCTGTTGGCCGTTGTGGGATTGCTACCGGGAGGGAGAGCCCTGAGATGATAACCGTCTGTTGAGCTCTGCTTGGCTTAAGCTGTAAACGTGTTGGAAGCTTTTTTACTACAAGTGTTGCAAAATATGGTTTGTTTATCTAGCCCCAGGCCTCCTTTAAGTGTAGCCTATTTGTCTTGTTCAGTCAGATGTGTTTTGGAATTCAGTTTTGGATGGCTATGCCAATACTCCTGTGTTATTTTCCCCTTGAAGCCCCAGAGTGCTACGTTCATAAAAGCGATTAATTAATAGGCCTTTATACAGAAGATCCTGTGTGTGAATTGGCTTTCCACATCTCTGGGAATTCTCTGGTGCAGTGGCTTCAGTGCTGCGCTGAGCGATCCAGTGCTGCTTATCAGCGGGTGAGCTGGTTCGTTCGTTGATTTAACGCTCCCGTGGGAGCGCTGATCTATTTCTGAGTCTCCTTGGCAACGGCAGGATGAACTAGGCAATTACTGAAAAACAGCCAATGGGCTCCAGGTACCGCCACTGTGCCTGCAACAACATCGCCGGGGTATTGTTGACTAAAATGGATTCAGTCACTTCAATTTAAGTGGACTCTGGTTTGAAGAAAGCTTATGCCAATTTTAACAGTTCTATGTTCCACCTTTCGTACTGAGGACCACATGAAAATATTTTGTGTACCTGAAAAGAGGCTTTCAGGGGATTGGACAGTAATAAAACTAGTGCATTTTATCATTGTTTTTCAGTTTTCACCATGGGGAACAATTCTTATGGACAGTGTGGCCGGACGGTTGTTGAAGATGAAACTTACAGGTGAGAATCCAAAGATCCTGAACTTCCTCAATGTTAAAAACATAATTGCATGAAAACAACCCTACAGAAGAGCCTGGAGGTGGGAAAAATCTGGTAGTATAAGGATGCCATTTAAGATTAAGGAGTCCAAGAACAGGCTTTTATGCCGCAGGCATCATATAAATGGCCTGGCTTTAAACCCAGGCTGGGCATGAGCACTCTTCTGACCACATTCACAAAAGACAGAAAGATGTCGGCATGTGACAGTTTTCGCAGGGCATAGTGAGAAAACCCAGCCTTCGTAAATTGCTTGAGGTAATTGGCATTAGTAGTCAGTCTTTCTCACTTTAGCCTCTCAGAGTCCAAGTGCTATTTCTGAGGGTGTTAGAAATGCCATTTAACGATGAAAGAGCCATCCTTTTGTTGCATCTCTTTGCTGTAACTGCTTTTGAAACTGTAGTGCTTTTCCTGTACAGGGTTTTTGTGGGCCACAGCAAAGCATATTCTCAAAAAGATGGTAGTGATGTAAGTGGATAGTGGGAATATGTTGAAAGTTACTAATTCCCTGGCAGGGCCTAGAAGAGATCTTGCTGATTGCTCTCTCTGTGATCCACAAGACTTGGCCTTGAGAGTGTAAGAAAATAGCTGTAACTTAGCTAGCTTTTTTCGCCTTGATACTGGAAGTTTGTCATTGGATTGTTCAGAATTCCTGTTTTTGTGAAAGAATCAAATGGATGTTAACACTGCACTGTTTGTGCTCTGGGATTTAACTGTGGTTAATCTCTAGTTAAGTGTAGTGTTTATATAGGTGCTGCAGTATTCTATAGTGTCTGTGCTCATTCTAGACTAGGGAACGTGTGTGAGGATTGCTCCCACCCCCAATTCCCATGACAGGTTATATTTAAAAAGTGACAGTTCTTAACTTCTTAAATAAGAGAACGCAAAATTACCTTCCTTTGTGCAGTAATTTTACAGTGGAACTGTGCTCTTTGAATATATAAGAGAACACACGAAGGAATCTCTCTTCTTGTAGTAGCAAAGTTGCTTTCAGTAAAGGCAGGTCTACCTTCACGTTTTTCAGTTGCAGTCCTCTGAAATCCTCTGTGTTGCCTTTTCTCTTCTCGGTGGTTGTTTGATGGTGTCCAGTGAAAGCCACCTGATTCATCAGCTGAAGGAGTTTGACAGCAGAGTTGTCCAGGTAAGAGGACCTTATGACTTGAATTCTGAAGGTGGATTGAAAGTTGGCTGAATAGCCAAGCCCAGAGGGTGGTAATCAGTGGCATGAAGACTAGTTGAATGCCAGTAACTAGTGGTGTACCCCAGGGGTCAATATGGGGTCCGATCCTGTTTAAAATCTTCACTAATGATCTGGATGATGGGGCAGAGAGCGCCCTCGGCAAGTTTGCAGATGACACAGAACTGGGAGGAGTGGCTGAGGCACCAAAGGGTGGTGCTGCCATCCAGAGGCTGGAGAAATGGGCTAGCGTGAACCTCATGAAGTTCAACAAGGGGAAGGGCGACGTCCTGCACCTGGGGAGGAACAGCCCCAGACACCACTATACGCTGGGGGCCAACCGGCTGGGAAGCAGCTCTGCAGAACAGGCCCTGGGGGTCCTGGTGGATGCCAGGTTGCCCGTGAGCCAGCAGCGTGCCCTTGCTGTAGAGAAGGCAAGTGGTGTCCTGGGCGGCATTAGGAGGCGGGTTGCCAGCAGGTCAAGGGAGGTGGTCCTTCCCTTCTACTCAGCGCTGGTGAGGCCACACCTTGGAGTATTATGTCCATTTCTGGGCTTCCCAGTACAAGAGAGACATGGACATACTGGATAGAGTCCAACGAAGGGCCATTAGGGTAATGAAGGGGCTAGAGCATCTCTGCTATGAGGAAATGCTGAGAGAGCTGGGACTGTTTAGCCTGGAACAGAGAAGGCTTGGGGGAGTCTGTCTTAACGATGTATATAAATACCTGAAGGGGGGTGCAAAGAGGACAGAGCCAGGCTCTTTTCAGTGGTGCCCAGTGACAGGACAAGAGGTGGTGGGCACAAACTGAGACACAGGAGGTTCCCGCTGAACATCAAGAAACACTTTTTTGCTGTGACTGAGCACTGACGCACATTGCCCAAAGAGGTTGTGGAATCTCCCTCCTTGGAGATATTCCAAAGCCATCTGGACATGGTCCTGGACAACTGGCTGTAGGTGACCCTGCTTGAGCAGGGGGGGTTGGACCAGGTGACTTTCAGAGGTTCCTTCCAACCTCAACCAGTCTGATTCTGTAATGAAAAAAAAAAAAAACAACAGTATGCAAATCACTCAGTTGAAGTTCTTTGAAAGGATGAGGTGATCTACTATACGATTGCTAATAAAAAGCACAAGGTGGGATTTTGCTCCATGCCTCTGCAGAGGAGTTGCAACTGGCAATGCAGGGTCTGAACTTACTGAAGAATTGGATGGGAATGGCGATGCAACCTTTG